CCATAAATATTTTTTATGATTCAGAGCAGTCACACACATACTCAACACCTTTAGTCACTGGTACATTTGGACTGATTTCAGGGTCTTATTCCTGCAGAATTTAATCTAAAATACAAGCACGTGCCTGGAAAGAAGCAGAAGGACACCATGCTTCAGTTTTCAACAGCTTACTCTTCCCTCAGTAGCATCTCAACTTCAGCACTGAACAGCAAAGGCCTCTCTCATGCACTTCAGTAATCATTCTTTCCTCACCCTAAACCCCATTTATTTTGCTTTAAAAAAATAAAAAAAATGTAGCCCACAGGAACATGTATATCTGATGAGAGAGAAAATTTGCACTTGATCTGTGTTGGCAGGTTGGGGTTTACGTATCCTCAACTGGTATCTCCTACCAGTTTGTAAGGGAGGACAAAGGCCTCTCTACAGTCTTGCTTCCCCATGAGTAAAGAATCACTCCAGTTTTAGAATATTCTTCATGTAGTGTCTCATATGAGCAGTCACATGGAGTATACATGCTTCTGCTCCCTTTCAAGACTCCTGCAACCCATTCTCTGCTAATTGTTAGTATCTGAAGCAATACAAGATGTCTAGATTAGGCTCTCTCTCTGTTCTAAGCTCTCATAATCGGGGGTGGGTGTGTGGAGGGGTGATTTCTCCTACCCTCCTTTTAGCTTGGATGTTTATCAAGATCTCGGTTGCCAAATTCTGGAAGGATCAAGCACTAACAGTACAAATGCTAATAACTCACCTGCACCTGAACCTGAGAAAGTGTCATCGTCATCACCAGATGAATCAAGATCTTCAGGGGGAAGGTTCAGATTTGTAGTTTGCTTTAAAGAGAAGGGGAAAGGTGTGTTAATGATGAGATTAAAGCTGTCATGTTGCTTGCGTAGTCCTCTAAGTTTCCCTGAAGATTACACAAGCAGTCTTTGTTAGGACTGCATTTTTTCCATCTTTCTTCATTCCATCCCTCCTCTCTAGAAGACTAGTTCTGTTTAGTCTGTTCAGCATTGGAAAGGTCAGCCTTGCCCTCTCCCTCCTCTGTGCTACTTCTTGCTTGGGGAAAAAAGAAAGTAGGGAGTGTGTTCAGAGCTGCATCCTGGTAGCAGCTGATGCTCAGTCCTTACACAGCATAACTGTTCTGCTTCAGGTTCCGACTGCTCACGTCTCAGCTGCCTACCAATCACTTCATCTGAGAATTACTGCATTACTTCTAAGGAGCAGAAAGGAAGGGGAGACAAAGTAGTTTTGCTTCTCTGCCTTTTTGAGCTCTTCTAGCACCGTTCACATATCTGAAACTACAGCATCTAACTGGAAGGAGAATAAGATTCTCTTTTCCTAAGTGTGAGCATTCAGGATAAGTCCTGAGACAGAAGCCAGCTTTCCACAGAGGAGAAATCAGCCCTCAGCTTTCTCCATTTATGCCTTGAGGAGTACACTAGTCAACACAGAAGTTCAGTTGCTGAAACAAAAACCCAAATCCTTGTTCTATGGCACCTGTTTGTCATAACACACAACATTCAAAGTTGTTCAAGATATCCAAAGAAGACAACACTACATAGAGTGACTACTTCATGCATCTTGTTGGCCTCTGCTGTATACACTTACTGTTCCTATCAGTACAGCATGCTTGACTCTCAGCTCACGACCAGACCCAGGTTTATTTCTGCAGGGCTACCGTTATTAACCAGTTATTCTCCCTTCTCAGATTTCAAGCCAAAGCTCTGTAAATCATTTCTGAATTTCATCTTTCCCCATCCAATCGAGTTCCTAGTTTTCCAGAATTTTTACTTCTATCCCACCCTCAGGATGCCCCCATCATCCTTTTCCAGCTCTGCCCCATCTGCAGGTTTAGGAGATACTGCATTGCATCATCCAAACTGATCATGGTTTTATCAGGAGTGTGAAATCTCCATTTTATTCTGTAAAAAGAACATACATTCTTGCCAGCTTTGCAGCTAGGCCAACTATATTTCTCTAGCTTGCCTTAACACAGCATTACTTACAAATGAATAGAACACCCCTTTCCATCCCAGGAAGAAGTTAGGCAGTGCTAATGTGATCAGTCAAACAAAGCAACTGAGCTCTCCCACTGTCACTATTACCTACACAGCTCTATTTGCCCTAGCTCCTTTTCATTCCTTCAAGATATCAGGATTATCCAGTTTTCTCTTCAGTCCTCAATATGTTATCCATCCCCCACATTTTCATACAACAACTAGTTTCCAAAGTGGTTCACCAGCACATTAGATTCAACCTCTCTGAAGACAAGTATGCAAGCTGCCACCAACTAATCAGGCCCAAGATGTTGCCCCTTCTAGGCAATCATTGTACTCACATGATTTTTACTTTTTTTAAATAACAAGAAACTACCTAAAACTAGAAAAGTACATACAGACATTAAAATTTTCAGCGTTTTCCTTCTCCACTGGAACAAGATGACTTTTCCCCAAGCTTCTGCAAACATGCTTCTAGGGTAGCTTCTGAGAATACCTTGCCCACTTCCATCTTTTGTTTAGCTGCATGTCACGAGGTAACTGGGATTTTCAGACTGGCCCCTGCTTGCTTGCATGTGCCTTTGCACTCACCCAAGGAAAGCAGGTCAGATAAGTACTTCCTGTGTGTTTTCCTCTTTGTGTCGAAGGTCAGTGAGTCACACAAGCTGATCTCACTACACTTCAAATATTAAAGGGTATGAACTCCTGGCACAGAAAGAACACAGGAAGAACTGCCAGGCTTCCCAAACTCTGCTCCCTTGAGCGTCCTTCCCAGTACCTTCAGAAGCAAATCTGCACTTCAGAAATCACACTGTTTTGGTTGATGAGGGACTGGGGACCATTTTTCTCCCTCCTTGCTTGCACTAGCAGTGTCAACCACAATCCTTTGTTCTCCCACTCAGCTTGGTTTTGAGTGCAAAAGGGGTGGTTGCATTCTCCTCCCAGTGGTAAAACTCTACCTTGAAGCAGTTAGAAAGCAACCTTCAGCTTTTTATTGAAGAAAAGGACTGCCAATACAGTTTAAGACGTATCACCACACACTTTTACCTAGTATCAAGACTAATTTCTCCCCCAAGTCTGAATCTTCAGGGGTAGCTCATACAGGATTTCCAAGAACACCTGGACAGATGTGATGGTCTGCAGACCTCAGCAACACTCCTGAAACGGTCAGAGACTGTCAGGAAAGGAAATAGCAACTCTTGATCTTGACCACTGAGCCAGCACCCCTTCCCCTTGCACTGTTAACAGAGGAGTTTCAGTCATGCCATGCTTCATTTGTCCTTCAGCCAGCCCACCCTTACTCTCTCCCTCACATCCGAGCTTTTAGCCTCTTCCCAGGCTGCTGCTTCTCTATAGTCTTTGTCATGTACTTATTTGAATCCCAGTTTGATTTCTGTGTCTTAGCAGGGCTAGCTAGGTCCTCCTCAGAGGAGGAAAGTCCAGTGCAACCCCATCTAAACCAATGGAGAACTATGCTGTTCCAGTGTGGAGCTGCCCAGATGCTGCTCAGCAGCCATCCTGCAAACACAAAGGCAGCCTCAGACCAGTTCCTCCCCACTGAGATTGGCTACTGTACTTCCAAGAAAATAATAGAAAACATGATTCAGAATTCATAAAATGGGCTTTCCAAGGCTTTATAGGAATACTTAGTGAAGTTGCACTAAATGTATCCTTCTACCTAGTTGTCCCAAAGGGCCTTGTCTTAAGCTGCTCCTCTTGGAGTTGCAGCATCTCCTTTTGACCAGCTTAGCTTGAGGCCTGGGATCTGAGAGGGACTTGCTTTGCCCCATATAGTCAAGGGACAGCACTGGATTATGCACACGTGGATACCAGTTAGAATATCCACAAAGTGACTGAACTTCATGACATTGTCCAGTTTTGTAACCCATGAGCATGAAGGAACATTGGCCTAATTTATGTAACCATACAATTATATAAGACCACACTTCTTGCTCCATAGACTGCAGCTTCAGTAGGCATGAGAGGCAGGAACCTTCCCATAGGGAACCATGGAATACAAGTACTGCAGAAAGGTCAGGCTTCTACAGTGATCTGCTGCTGAAGGACTTCAGAATCAGCAAGGTTGACATAAAACACTGACTCAGGACAGCATCGGAAGGGATTGATTTGGGTTTGCATGAGGAAGACAGACTGTGCTGTTCACATGCAAACACCTCATGGTCAAGGCTCTTTCATGACCTTTGATTGCTGCTAAGTTACACCAATGAGAAAGGTTTTGATCAGTCAAGAGGATTAGGGGCACAGAACACAGATTGAATCACTGGGATGTGCCATCATACAAAACAGCTGAAAATAGATTTCAGTTTACTGAAAGGATTATCCATCATTATCCATGTTATTTATCAGTCTGCTGAGACTATTTGTGGACCATTCACATTGTAAATGATGCCAGAGAGGTCAGATGAGCACATTTAATTTAAGTCAGTGGATCCTTTGAAAGTTCTCAGATGGTATCTCATGTATTCTAGTGAAAAAACTTTTAGTTCTTATACTGCACCTACAACATGTTGCTTTTTTACTGTTTAACAAGCTCTTTTTTTTAAGTGAGTTTTTGTGGGGTTTTTTTATTTTATTTTTGTTTTTTTTTTTGAGGATTTTGTTTTGTTTTCTTAGCAGCTCAGGCAACTGATTACAAATACTTTTGGTATGGTATCACTGAATTCAGTTGCACGTAAGGAGTGAAAATTTTACCAGCATTTTTGATATACATTAACCAGTTCCACTAACCACTGGAAGATGCCCTTCCCCAAGTATCAAAGCAGCCTGTTTAGAGGAAACCCTGAGGAGACTGTTAGCCTCTGCTCTTGCTGTGCCTTGCATTGTTGGAGAACAATAGCCATTCAGTTCTGCTGGGACAACCAGAAAAGCTGCTTAGTGGCATCTTCAATTTAATCAAGAATGGGCCAGGCTTTCACAACTCATTAGCAATATTATTGGCTCCAGAAGTCTGACACACGACTTTTTTTTTAGAGCATAATTTCTAAATATTCTGCACTCTTCAACTTTATTGCAATAATCTCAATACATGAATCTTTTTGTCCTTATCCCACCAGCTGCCTCAGAGTTCCCTCCTGCTAGAGCACTGATCTGACATACTCTCACAAGAAGAAGGGGAGATTTGTATTTATTAGTTGAACTCACCCTGTCCAAACTGAGGACTCCATTTTTTTTAATTTGGAGCCATGGTATATGTAAAAAAGAGCAGATTTTTTCAAATTGCTCTTTGAGGTAAGAAAAACCACTGGCTTTGCCACAAGCCCTAAACTAGATTAAGATTTGTATCTTATTCTTAATTAATCTGAGCTAGTGATCAGCCTATTACAGTAGTGTCAAAAACACTTGAAATCCTCCATTATCTGAACAAGGCTGTAAACTTTGCATGTTTCCCTAACAAATCCCTCCTATTCAGCTGAAAAGGAATGAGCTGTAATGAGCTTCTACCTCAAACACCTCCCTAAGCATCCTGCAAGATTCTTCCAACTTTATGGGAAGCGAAACCAACAGCTTATTCTTGTTTATAAAGGCATACAGGAAGAAGCCAAGGATTTGCTCTCTGGTTTGCCTACTAAATATGGCACTGGAGCATCTAGAAAGATACTTCCACAAGGATTTGAACAGCTCTAAAATAATTCAAAGAGAAAGGTTCATCTTTCACCCTTTGCTGTACATTGAAGAGCAGAGCTAATCCCTCCAACAGAAGCACCGAGCCAAAGCAGCCTGAAGAGCTTCTAACCTCAAAATATTAATATTAGTGTGTGGGAAGATAAAACCACCTTCTGAAAGAAATTTTAGCTTTGTTAAACCTTGATATT